CCTCCCCCTCTCCCTCGCTCGTCGCGCGGCTCGATAAATCTCGCGTGTTTCGTAGATCTGTGGCCGAGGCGGCGACCCGCGAGGTTTAGGTCGTTCGAGGCGGGTAGAGCGCTGCTTGCTTGTGCTGCGCCTTCTCATAGATCGGATGAACGGCCTCGTGTTCTTCGGGTAGCTGAGTATTTAGACGAAACATCATGTGGCTGACCGCTCTATGGGTTTGATTTTGTGCTGAGCTGCCGTGATAGCTATGTGGCTGTGATGTGCCACTTTGACGGCGTTTCAGATAGCGGATGAATCGGCGATTCATGTAGGTGCTTCGTCTAGATTGAGCCTACACGCATGCTCTCAACATATGTTGCGTAGTTTACGCATCTTGCAGTGTATTTAGTTTTAAATTCACTGGCTTGTATGCGTAAATTGCTGAATTTGATAGTATGAATCCATATTGGTACCATGTATATGGGGCAGTGTATGGGGGTGTCTTCTTGTGATGAATAGGTTTCCTCTACGGGGCACTGGTAAACTGCAAAACATGTACAGCAAGAGTTCGAACCAGGTTTTAGAAATCCTGCTTGCACTTGTAAAGCCTACTAACCTGTCCATAGAACAAGTTGAGTCATCAGGAACATGTTCTCCATTAGCCTAACCTCCTAAAGTTATTCTACTGCTGAAGCTAAGAGAGTTGCTTGTTCTGATGTTCCTTTACCTAGCTGGTTTCAGTGTTCATTTATCTTCATGTGCCTTAACCCAATACACCATTGTTAATTATACTGAAACAGGTTGCTCTGTTAGCCTAAACCATGATAACTCCACTTAAATGTTCTTCCGGTGACAGAGTAGCTGCTTTAGGTGTTCCTTTACCTTTGTAATTCATGTACCAGCAGTCTTGTCTATTAAGGTTTAATTGTTGCTTCATTTTGTGAATGTTACCTAGCTCCTTATGATGTTCCTTGGTTTGTATTAATAAACACGTAGTTCACATGCACTTAATTGTCAGTGTATTGCAATCGCATACATTCTTCTGCTTTATGTTTGTTTATAATAGGCTGCTCTTGTGTTTGTTTTAACTCTTATTTGTGTGTAATTTGTACCTGTAGTGTTGTTTCAATCCATTGGAGCTCTTCATTCTGCATTATGATGTTTCTATTGATTCATAACTGAGCATAACTGTGATTTATTGTTGGATTAATACTTGCAGGGCAGAATATCCGGAAGCTGGTGAAGGATGGTTTCATCATCAGGAAGCCTCAGAAGATCCACTCCAGGTCTCGTGCAAGGAGGGCACATGAGGCCAAGCAGAAGGGCCGTCACTCTGGATATGGTTAGTAGCTGCAGCTTTAACTGGCATGATAGTATTTGTTATTGTAGATATTTGTGTTGTAACCTGTGATTCTGCTCTCTGCACAGGTAAGCGTAGGGGTACCAGGGAGGCTAGGCTCCCCACCAAGATCCTGTGGATGCGGAGGATGCGTGTCCTGAGGCGCCTTCTGCGCAAGTACCGTGAGGCCAAGAAGATCGACAAGCACATGTACCATGACATGTACCTGAAGGTCAAGGGTAACATGTTCAAGAACAAGAGGGTCCTCATGGAGAGTATCCACAAGTCCAAGGCTGAGAAGGCAAGAGAGAAGACCCTCTCTGACCAGTTTGAGGCCAAGCGCGCCAAGAGCAAGGCAAGCAGGGAGAGGAAGATTGCCAGGAGGGAGGAGAGATTGGCTCAGGTAAGATGATGTTTTCATTTTGCCTGTGAATGAGGTCCTGCATTGTATTCTGTCTGAAATACAAGATGTTTAATTGTTTACACATCTCGTACTCCATCAAAGTGGGCCTTACTATATAGGGGTGGCATTTGCATGTTGATCTCTCTTAACAGACTGTTAAGAGCTGGATGTTGAAGTTGAATATAGTGCTATCATACATGATTGATTTTGCTACTACTGTTGTACAGCAGTGATTTTGTTGTTAGCACAATTTGGCTGACTTGTACTATCTGGCAAACAGGGCCCGAGAGATCATGCACCAGCACCAGCGGCTGCAGCTCCCGCTCAGGCAGCAGCGTAAGTACCTCCAAAAAATTTCTCCACATAGTTGATGTGTTTTCTTCGGTTTATCTTACCTTCTCCGATTTGTATTGTGTTTACAGTGCACCTAAGAAGGCCAAGAAGTGAAGGTCTGATAAGAAGCTTTATCTTTCTGGTAATATCAAGGGTTAGCCTAATTTTGGAACATCAGAAGTTCAGAACTGTTTTCTGTGCAATATCTTGTTTGTGTCAGCGTGTCAGATACCTTAAATATCATATCGTGTTTGTTCTGTTGGATGTTTCAATCAGAGATGCTTATGCAGAGTTTGTTAAACCATTTGGGTTAATGGTATTATATTATGCTTTTGAACCTAACATTCTGTGCGTGCAAATTTACGTGCTCTAATGATTAATTCGTCGTGTAATTCTGGACCCACCCGCTTCAAGATCTATCATCTGTAGATTTATAGTTTATTTATCGAGGAAAGCTGATCCTTGTTGCTTCAAGATCTATCATCTTTAGCCATCGGTTGAGGATCTGTCAAATTATGGGTTTAAATAAATGTAGAGCCTCCATAGTCCACTCAATGTTTGGACTGAAAGTGAGTCGTAATCCATGATTATATGGCATGACTGCACAACATGCTGGTCTTCTCCTCTGGCTCGACCCTGAGCTCCTCGGCGACGGGCCATCCGCTACTCGTCCCTCCATTCCCTCCAGCACGATGGGGACGAGCCCAAGCACGAGCTCCCCTCATCTAGACTGGGTCACGGTGAAGGTGTAGGTGGCGTGGCTGGGCTCGCACTAGAGAGCCCAAGGTTTCTGCTCCAACTAGGACTTTCGTCAAAGATATGTGGAGCTCGAAGACGAGGGCTTTCGTATAACATAGTGTGTACAAAGTTGGTTATGGTAGTAGCTCAAGTCCAATACAACCATTGGAAAGTTGCACAACACGACGATATAATTTGGCTAGATGATGTTTTTGTTTAAGTTGATTTAATTTTTGCTAGTCAATTTTTCTGCTGGCATCCTTAGTAGTTGTAATTGCACATATAGTACTTCCTCCGTTTCGAATTACTTGTCGCAGGTATGGATGTATCTAGATATACTCTAGTTCTAGATACGTCCATTTCTGCGACGAGTAATTTGAAACAGAGGGAGTAGTTCTTAATTGGATATGACCATTGGTAAGTTGCACAACACAGTCATACTAAGTTGACCAGATGATGACTCGCGCTCACATTGCTCGTATGAAGTTTTTTGATGCCAACTTTGATGCTATATGGTGTAATTTTAGTACTACATTGTGCAATTTTTTTCAAACCAATTTTATTAAGCTGCATGATTCAACTTCCTATGAGGTTGTAACCTGATAACTTTGATGTGCAACTAGTCTACTGCCTCGGCCGACTACCTAGTAGTCAATGTGCAACCCCCCCTCCCTATCCCCCCCCCCTTCCTACCAAGGGTATGTGCAACTTAGTCTATTGTTCAAGCCAACTGCCTATTAGTCAATGTGTAAGTCCCTCTTCTCCTTACTTGTGGATGTGTATTTTTAGTTGGCGGGGGTCACAAACAAAGTTGCACATAGTCTGCTAAGTAGTTGTCCAGGGCAGCATACGAAGTTGCAAATCTCACAAGCAAGGATAATTGAATGATGAAAATTTGACATTTATGAGGGTAATGAAACGTTGCATATTAATGAGGGTAGTGAAAATATGCATATAAACGGGGCGCTAAGGTTGCGTACCTCACTAGAAGGGTAGTTTGGGCTTGGTGCTAGCAGGGAAACTTCCACGGAGGGTACAAGAGAAAGTTGCACATCACTGTTAGATAGTTGACCGTGACAATATTCGAAGTTGCACATCTACTGGTAGGCTGTTGACCGATACAGCAAACAGTGAAAGCACATCCACGGGAAGGGGCAAGTTGCACATTAAGTACTATGCAGTTGGTCTGGATAACTGACAAAGTTGCACATCTCACTAAAGGTAGTTCGGGAATGGAGGTACCATCATTGAAAACTGCACGTCTATAGGGTAAGAGAAAAAGTTGCACATCCACTGTCAGGTAGTTGCACATCGACGGCTGGCGGTTGCACGAAACGGGGCCAAAATTGCACAAAAAAAATTCATCAAAATATACCCATACGGGATCTAGTTTCGAAAAGCACGTCGCCAGGGTTCCAACAATGAAAACGGATCTTAATTTCGATGCGCAGTTTGAAAGTTATGTTTTTTTTAAATTTTGAAAACCCAAATTAAATGCCTTCACACCTGTTTACGTGGGTGCTTTCCAATTATTTCTTACTTTTTCTGTTCACACATGTTCATACTTGTTCATTTTTCCTAATATGAATTAGAGGGGCCAACTATTTCCATTTATAGATTAGGGAGATAAAATATTTTCTTTTTCGGTCGGCCACTCTTGAGCGCTAGCGGGCCAACGGCCATCTGCTAGACGCGTCCTATATGAAATATATACAATAAAGACGGAAGTGTATTTGGTCATAGGCGAGTGAGAAATCTAATTGCTTTGAGTTTATTTTATATGTATCAAAATCGATACCAAAATAAAAAAGTGAAAGATGTACTCCCTCCGTCTCATAATGTAAGAACGTCTTACATTATGGGACGGAGGGAGTACAATGCAATTTCTCTATTTAGTAGAAGCCAAAAAGTACATATATTAGACTTCTGAATTAAAAAGGGGGTTCTTGCCTATATCCTACCATTGGTTTGAAACGTCGAGAGATGTACTGGAGTCTGAATCCTTCTCTTTCCGCTTCCTTGGATCATGTGGGACTTCCGAATCAGGCAGAATGCTGCACGGCCAAAACGTGATTGCCCCGCGCTGTCACCAAACCTATCCGAAGGAACATGACGGCACAACGTAAACGCAAACGATGTCTTGGAGTGCACTTCATGCCCATTTAAAACCCGGACCCATCTGGCCACCTCGTACGATCTCGCTCTGCCATGTCACCGGACATGGACGGCATTGCTCCAGCCTCCGCCCCCGCCCCCGCTCCGGCCGGCCCGTCGTGGCAGCAAGTCGGCGTGACCCTCTCCGGCGCCGGCACGACGGGCCTGACGGCCGCCGGCACGGTGCTCCTCTTCCTCTACCTCGCGGGGCGCTTCGTCTGGGTGTACAACAAGGAGGTGGTCGCCGCGAACGCGCCCGGCGCACGGGTCGACTCGGCCACCCCGGTCCGCGTCGTCGTTGTCCCCCGGCCCCTCCACCGCGCAGCACCGCCGGTGTCACAGCTCCCGGCGTTCGTGCGCGGCGAGGAGGGCCATCGGGGCGCGCCGGAGGAGTGCGCGGTGTGCCTCTCGGAGTTCGGGGAGCGGGAGGCCGGGCGGCTGCTGCCGGGGTGCGGCCACGGGTTCCACGAGGCGTGCATCGCGGCGTGGCTCCGGCTCAGCTCGACGTGTCCCCTCTGCCGCGCCGCCGTGGCCTCGCCCGAGTGAGTACAACCAAGGCGAGGAGGAGCGACGGCCGTGGTCCGCATGGTCGATAACGTGCGTGTGCATGTAGAAGAATTGTAGACGTAGATAGACGTCGTTCGAAGCCAGCTCGGGCGTTTGTCTCTGTTCTGGGGCATATTCGCATATCCGGCCGCAGCGCTTTGCTCTGTCCTGCTCACCCAAGGCACATATATTTCTCTTGCTTGACATGTGTATAGTTGATCCATCAGTTGGTACTTCTTTCAGCACAGCACAGCACAGATATGACACGTACATTTGGTCGTTTTAGCAAAATGCAAGTACTCCCTCCGTTTTCGGACGGAGGGAGTATATGGTTAGTTTGTGTCTCATTGTACTCGCTACGGTTGCTATGTTTTTTTTGGACAAAGTGTATCATTAACATTGAGAGGAATGATGATAAGAAAAGAACATTGAGAGGAATGTGCATGAGTAATTTTACAGTCGTTCATCTGTAGATTACCTAGCTTTAAAAGCATTGGGCATAGATCCTCTGAATGGAAACTATAACGGCTACAAGTCATATCTGGATGCAGACTTGCAGGAGCAAGATCTGCTGTAGACTCACAGTTGTGAGCTCCATTATCTGTTGATATGATAAACCTGAACTTGAAATGTAGCCAGACTGCCCGATCTGCCAATGTCCAGGGCTGTTGTGTACGTTCCCGGAAGCTGCAGCTTGAGCCAAGACTTGATTGTCAACGTAGAATGTGATTTCATTGTCTGTCAGAGTTGTACCGATCTGAGCGGCTGTTTGTAGAGCAAGAGCTTCTTCTTGTAACGGTGATTTCACTTCTATTCCTGCTGCTCATATGCGAAGTGTTTGGAGAAGACCATGTGTCTTGTGGGTTCAGCTGCTCCCGCACTGTTGTTGCTCATCCACTTCACTCTGCTTTTCTAAGAGTTCTCCAGGCGAACGTTTGAACTCTAGAGCCATACCCTTTTCTTTTCAAGTTGGTTCAGAAGAGTGAAGGCAGCAAATCTTTTCAAGTTGGTTCAGAAGAGTGAAGGCAGCAAACCACCCTGAAAGCTGAAGCTGACCTTAGGTCGATGTTTTTTTTACAGCAGGTTAATTATGTACCACCATGGCGATGAAATAGCATAGAACAAAGGCGCAGTTGTGAACTACGAGTCGAGATGGGCGATGGGCCATGACCCGGAGCGTATACAAATTTGCAGTTGCAAAGAGAAATTAACATCAAGCCAACATATTTACATTCGCTGGCACCCTTTATTCAGTGGCACTATCAGGCTTCTATTTTACACGAACGTGGCGACCTATTTTACACTCCACTACTATCCTTAAAAGTAGTGTCAGTGACGGTCACGCGAGCGAGACACGAATCAGCTTAGCTTCCCCAGGGCGCGGCGTCCCCGGCGCCATCGCCGCCCTCCCCGCCTTGCCGGGCCAGCATGGCGGCGAGCGCGCGGGAGTGCGGCCACGCGGGGTTGCCGCGCGAGGCCGCCTCGCGGAACATGGCCTCGGCGCGGGCCAGCGACGCGTCCGCGGTGTCCTCTACCATGGTCCCCGGCACGTCCTGCTCGAGCCGGTCCTCGGCGCCGCCGTCCGTGGCGCGCGTCACCGGCTTCCTCGTGTCCGCGAACTCCACCTCGGCCAGCGCCGACGGCTTGTGCGTGCGGTAGTACTCCCGGTCCTCCTCCCGCACCTTCCGCGCCGCGGCCTCCTCGTCCCCGGGCGTCGCGTCGCCGAGCGGGTCGCTGCCGGCTGGCTTGGAATTGGAGGACCAGCGGCGCTTCTGCGTGAACGTGGACCCGGCCGCCGGGTCCGCCAGCTCCTGCGACCCGAGCTTCCCCGAGGGGGTGAACGGCGGGACGCGATGCTCCTTGGCATACCCCTCCGTCGGCCGCGTCGTCGCGGACGACGGCGGATGCTTGTCTTGGCCTTTGCCCTCGATGGCCTCCTCCGCGCCGGAGAACTTTGGGGGCCCCTCGGCGTAGTCGTCGCTCGGATGGTCGCCGGAGTGGACCGCGGGATCGCCCGCGCCGCTGGCTTGCGATGACAATGCGGACAGCGCGCGGCCGTGCGCGCCGGGCAGGCCGCGCCGGGTCGCTGGCGAGCCTGAGGCGAAGAGACGGAGTGCTCGTGCCGTGGCCATCGTGCTCGTGTACTGTTTTTCTTCCCCCGTTTCGTTCTTTGGTCATGGCGCCTGTGCGGCGGCGATTCTTATAGCAGGATGCTCGCGCTGGGAGCGTCGAGAGAGTTGCCGGAGCGGGAGGACGAGGTGGGAGGGAGACGGCTCGACACGTGGCGAGTTTGGGAGGATCGAGAATGAGGTGGAAGAGACGAGTCGACCAGAGACCGACCGAGGAACTCCCCTGGTTGTCTAGAATGCACTGAACGGTTTGGGCCTTGGGTCAGTTGGGCCCGTAAAGTGAGACCCTTTGGAATTTGCACAGTTTACCTTTTTGAGGGGGCGAGGATTTTGGGCTCCTGGGCTATATGGAGCCCTAAATTTTGCAAAATAGAAAACAAACCCTTAAGTTTCAAAAATTATGAAAAAAGTACACATATGCACAGAGATTTATATTCAGTTTATGTAAATTTCCATAATGAAATGCGTTTTATGCGAGATACACAACAAAAATCATGGAGTCCTATAGTAGATTCGAGCCTATAATGTGCTGGAAATTCATGATCTTTTTATAGCTCATATTAAAATATATTTTATCATGAAACTTTTTTATGGTAATACGTGTTTCATTCATATCATAAAGAACAAAGTACAAGTCACGTAAGGACGGAAATGACACAACTGAAAAAAATACTAGAACATTTCTGAGCTTGACACCAACGTTCGTCACCTGCCTCCGGCACCACCACAGCAGCCACCGAAGAAAAGAATGATGAATCACCTCCTCACTCGAGCTCGACGCGGCTCCATCGATGATATGCAGTTTTCTGGACCTTCAAGGTGGCTCATCAAAAGTGAAGCCATTGCTGTTGAAGACGCCGAACAAGGAAACCATACCTGCCATCCACAACCTATGAACCCAACACACGTTCTGTTTTCCAGATGTCGTCGATGTAGTATACATCCCTATCCGGAGAAAAAGTGGTATACATTTGTATCTACATGTGTAAGAATTTTAAGCTTTTTTTTGAAAAAATTGTTTACATATATTTTTAGTCGTGATTTTTTTACATGTGCTTTAAATTCATGATGAAAATGTAGTATACATCCATATGAACCTTTTGTGAATGATACGTGTGCTACAATTTTACGATTTTTTATGTAGCTCACATAAAAACTATTTAACTGTAGAACTTACTAAAATGTAGTATACATCCCTCTGTACATATGTATTTTTGTCATTTTTTTGAACTAACTTCTTAAAATAAATATTTTACAACTAGATAATAGTCAAATGCAATAAATATACATTTTTAGCCTTACTTTTCATATTATTATTCAAAATGTTCCTTACAACCACATTGAATTATATTGAACCAATTCCTGCAGCAATCACCGATATATCATCTCATGTAATTAAATTGGTGATCCAATTTTAGCACATACAAGTATACCTGGCCATATGTCGGGCCGGGCTGGGCCGAAAAAAGCCCGGTGCTGAAAACCTACACCTGAGCCCGGCCTAGCCCGACCGCCAGGCCTAATAAATTGGGCCCGAGCCTGAAAACTCCTGACATGGCCTGGTCGGCCCAACCCGACCACGGTTGAAATCTGTTTTTACGCAAGCCCAAACCTGACCCTATCTACCTGTCGGACTCAATTTCTAGGCCCGAGCCCGGCCCAATGGCATGCACAAGCCTGGCCTGGCCTAGGATTTTTGGCCGGGTCGGGTCAAGCCATCTGGGCCGGGTTGCCCATGGCCAGGTTACGTACAAGGCTGCTACATAACTATCTTCATCATTATTTCATCAATAAATAGTTTCACTATAGTCAGAATGTCAATAGGTGCTATAAAATAAGTATTCTATCAAACGTCTTACATTTGTTTACAGAGAGAGTACTCACCATTCGTTTGCTGATAGGTCTAATATCGTTCATGTATGACAAAAATGTAAACATAAATTCTATTTTTTTTATTATAGGTTAATTTATAGCTATTTTTTATTCTATGTCTTACATTTGTTTATAGCTACTCCCATCAATCCAAAATAAGTTTTGCACTTTTGAACTAAGTTTAGTTTAATCTCAATTTAAAACTGTGGTACTTTTTATGCATCGGATGAAGTAACAGGCACAAGAACGAACAAGTATAATAAACATCTTATAATATCACAGGACAGAGGGAGTATAATACAATATCAATACAATTGTTATTATTTGATAGAAAACGAACGAATACTCACACACACACACACGCAAAAAAATCAATTTAGCAGCTGAACTGCTACAAGAGCACTTGTGTTTCACGATCAGAAGCCGGCGAATTTCGATTTCATGGCGCTGACTTCGTCTTCGCCCGCGAGGAAGGTCTTGGTGAGCACCTCCATGGGCATGGCCGGCTTGGTGGCGAAGAGCCCGAGGGTGGGCGTGACCAGGCCGGGCGACTGGGCGTCGAACATGGCCATGAACACGGCGTCCCCCTTGCCGACGTTGAGCTGGAAGTGCTGCAGGCCGCGGGGCACGACGTAGAGCTCGTTCTTCTTCACGACCTTGGAGTATAGCCGATTCGCGGCCGACGTGAACCCGACCATGACCTCGCCCTTGAGCACCAGCACGAGCTCGGAGCCGCGCGGGTGCGAGTGCGGCGGGTTTAGCCCGCCCGGGGCGAGGTCGGTGCGCGTGATGGACAGCCCCAGCGTGTTGAGGCCCGGGAAGGCCGACACGGTGGCGCGCGTGGAGTTGACGCCGAAGGGGTTGGTGTCGGTGCGGGGCGCGGCCACCATGGCGTCGGAGAAGAAGTCGTCGTCCGCCACCGTCGACGCCGCCTTGCAGGGGAACCCGTCCACCGCCGTGGCGGCCTTCAGGTCGGCCACGCAGAAGTCCTGCAGCGGC